CCTCGGCCTCCCAGAATGCTAGGATTACAGGTGTGAGCCACCACGCCTGGCCTATAGTGTCATTCTTTAGTGTGTGTATCTTCCCATCTATTAAGGATTCAGTTACTGTCCCATCATTTCCCTAAAGACCACAAACATATCTTAGCTAGTAAGAAAACAATCATGAACAGATAATCCCTGATCCCTGTTCTTAGCCCAGCTTCTTGAAAGGGTGGTCAACAAAGTATCTTTACTTCCTCATCTCCCATTTTCTCCTCAATCCATGTCATGATTCTATCACCCACATTGTGACATTCTTCTCAAAAATCATTAATGGCCTCCTTGTTGCCAGACCTGATGAACTTTTGGTCCATTTACTATTTGAGCTTTCTGCAGCATTTTAAACTGTTAACCACTTTTCTTGAACTGTTCTCACTCAACCTTTGAGATACTACTTTCTTCTCATTGGTCTTTTCATACTAATTCTTTCATTGCTCCTTTTCCATCAGTATTCTTCACAGGCTCCTTTTTCCTGAGCTTATCTCTCAGAGATCACTGTTCTGCAGGTCATCATTTTCCTTTTATTTTATTCCATCCCATCTCCCCCGCCCAGGGTGATTTCACCAAAATTCGTACCTTCGAGTATCATTTACAGACTGGTTCTAATAGGCTTTTCACCATCTTTTCTTATATGGAGACTGCAAACTGGCAACCTTTTGAAGTGTCGCCTGATTTAGAACTTCTTATTTTTAGAACTTTATATATTCAAGTTATTTATCAAAATTACAAATACATCATTCCCCATGAAGTTTAGAACTTAGTAAATCTCAAGTAAATGATGCAGTCTAAACTTGAATTATTAAATGAATCCATATTGTAGTCATATCTTAAGTTTAATTTCTGTGTCTAAAGCAAAAATAAAATGATACGTTTTTTTCCTTGTTTTTGACTTAATTATAAACCTGCTCATCAAAAGGAAACTTTTGGCTACTCACAGGTGGCTTAAGGCAATATCCATTTTTAACCACAGCTGCAAAATATATAGTAATCATAATAAAGGTTAAATTACTTAATTTCCCTAGACTCAATATAATCTAAATTTTTCCTTCAATATTTGGGTTAATG